CTCGAGAAATGTTTAACAGTATTTTTAAATTCTCGAATAATTTTTGAATAAGATTTTAATAACTTATGATACTATTTTATCTCTCGAACAATTTTTAAACCTTTTTTTTATCTCTTGAGCTATATTTAAACAATATTTTATCTTTCGATAAATTTCTAACATTATTCTATCTCTCGAGCAATTTTTAACAACTTTTTTATCTCTTTAGCAAACTGCACAACATTTTAACTCTTGACAAATTTATAAAAATATTTTAACTCTCGATAAATTTTTGACAATGTTTTATATCTCGAGCAATGTTTCTACAATATTTTATCTCTCGAGCATTTTCTAAAAGTATTTTATCGTTCGAGGAATTTTTAAACAAGGTTTTATCTCTCGAGAAATGTCTACTATTTTATCTCTGAAGTAATTTTTAACAACTATTTTGATTTCTCTTGCAATTTTTGACCAATATATTTTACACTTCAAATGGAAACATACCTACGCTAAAAAAAGTACTAGATTTTGTTTCGAGTGTACTAGAGTACCAGATTCTCAGCGAATGTACTAGATCTAGTACAATTGTACTAGACTGGCAACACTGCTTCACGGTCCTCCCGCACCCGAAACCGGCTTAATTCGTACGGCCTAAACCTAATTAAAATGAGAAACTTTCACACCACCGCTTCAGACGCCTACTCGCCCTTTTCGGCATTTTACAAACATGGTCGCTGCTTGCGCGCGGCGATCTTGCTCAACTCTCCTCCCGGACGTTATGTTTTATGAAAGGAAATGACACGCTCATTTCCGGGCGGCAAATTTCAAATTGTGTTTCGCGCTAATTTTTTAAAATGTTTAAAATAAATAATTTTTTTCTTGTTCAAAAAGATTGATTTCTGAACAGGAAGAAACACTAGAGAGGGTCAACCTAGGGATGTTAAGTTTGACCCAGAACCGTTCCAATGACGTATCTTTGAAATGTTTTGATGATATTGTATATGTAGACAGACGGAGAAGTAAATGGTAAAAAGTATACACTCTTCCAATGAGCATATATTCGTTTTTGAACGTAAATTTAGCATTATTTGGTATAAAAACACGTTATTGGTTGAAAATACAACGTTGAGATTTTATATACTATATAATATTAATTGCATTGTTATATAATTAATTTTACTGTCAATATCTTTGAAATATAAAACTTTATTAGGTCTAATTTCTTAAAGAGTTTAATGTAAACGTAGGTTATTTTTTACACTAACTTATCTACTTGTTAACAAAACAAATCAAGCCGATAAAAATAAATTTCTAAAAAAAAACGATAAACTAAATAGTTGTTTGTTTCTCCGTTGTAATACGATGAATATACTAACAAAATGATGTTCGATACTTGTTTATAAATTTGTTACATCCAATTAAAACCGATGTACATAATTTTTTATTTAAACGGAAGTGCCTAAGGTACAACGTTTTATTGATTAAGTTACTAAGTTGCATAAACAAACTCTTATAATTAATTTGTTTGAAATCATTATAAAAGCTCATTGTTATTATCATCAGTTTTTTTATTTACATGTTTAAATCTGGAAATGCCATGTGAACTTTTAAGTTAAATTGTTGTTGCGAACATTTTACAATAATTATATGATTAATTTTGTTATACAATTTAATTGATAAAAATTGTTTAACATTTAATGAAGTTAAATGAATAAATATGTACTGTAAACAAATTTTGTTTTTGAAAATATAACATAGGTAACTAGATTAAACGATTTTGTACAAATAAAATGGAAATACTTTCAATTAATTGCATTTTGTGTATTAAAACATATAAAATAGATTCATATCTAGTTTTGCAGGTATCTATTAGCTAGAGATAAAATTAGTGCAATTATAGAAATCTTTAACTACAATTCCAACTTATTCCTCAAGGTTCGGTCCGAGGTCCGCTGCACGTCAACATTTATGTTAATGATCTTTATGCATTAACAACAGTTGGTGACAACTGGATGCAAGAACTGCAATGAGGTCAAAGAAAAAGCTAAAAATGATGTAATATTAAAACACCTTGAAAAATTTTAAAAGCCTTTTAGCAACTTAGGGTGAATAAAACTTGAACTTTTTTTAAACCTCCGAAAAATATTTATTTTATTGATTTTTAAATGTATCATGATAATAGACTAAGAGGTCATCAGTTTAAATTAAAAAACTATGGTACTAGATACAGAAAATATTTTTTAATAACAAATAGCGTCTTTGAAGTATGGTACAGTTTTTCCATTAATATAATAAACTTTCTTAATGTGTAATATGTAGGTTTTCCATCGCTACTTTAGAAATCCAACAGTGAATGGCAGAATTGAGAATTCTACCTATATATAAGAATTGTTTTTAATTAATAAGAAAAAAGTCACTCCCCAGGTGGAATTCGAACTTGATGGAACACCTGAATCTAGATGTTTAAACTATAATCATAGAGCCACCTATTCCTGCTGGTTTTTATTGAAAATAATAAATGTATCATCAGTTTTCAATAGTAAGATGACTTGAGTTAGATCATTATACTTAATTTGGTTGAATATTAGATTTTTAATTTATATATTATATTTGAAAACTAGACGATATCATTTTTGGCCTACATAAATGGTTTTTATATCGTCGGTTTACTGCCAAAACAAGATAAGTTATATTTTGTTACTTTTAAGTAAATGAGGTTTAAAAGTTTTTACCTATGCTAAAATAACTTCATGAAAGAAAATATTTATTAAGTTGTAAAATAATATAGATCGTGGTACTATAAACATAATTATTACCAGAAATAAATAAAAATAACTAGTAAATGTGTAACTAGTAGAACAATTTTTTTTCTGATTCGGAAAAAAAAGATAAGTGACACTTATTTGGTTTTGCACTCTAAGGGGGCGTCCATTAATTACGTGAGGTATTTTTGAGGATTTTTTGACTCCCCCTCCCCCCTTGGCGAGATTTGGTAAGATTTTCCTTAACTCCCTCCCCCCCCCTCCCTCCCCCCCCTCCCCCCCCCCGTCCCTAATCTCACGTGAGATTTTTTAAAATTCGTGTTTTGGGTGTAAATGTGTTGGATTATTAAAAAAAAAAACAAAAACACAATATGTTCCATTACTTTTATTTAAGACTAGCAAAGACTAGTGTTTAAGAGTGTTGCAATTATTTAAAATCACATTAATAAAATTAAATGATAAATACTTAAATGGAAATGTCGTGAGATTAGTTAGATCACCGAGACGCGAAGCGTCGAGGTTAGCTATGATCTCGAGACAGGAATAAACAAATGTCAGATAAAGCCGGATATTAAATTCGCGAATAATAAACATTAATAAGTAGTTTGTTGTATTTTTAGTTCATTGTTGTTTTTTATTGTTTGCCATTAAATAGGTATTATAAAATTTGTCAAAAAATGTGTTATTTTGTTAAATATAAAAAAATATTCATCTGGAATAGATGAAATGAGGGCGGGAAGAGAGGGCGGTAAGTAGAGGTGTGTAATGTGACACTTCCCAACCTTCAATGACGTTAGTAATGACAACATTACATATATGGTTGTAAATAAACATAATTATAAGATTTTTCCATATTTTATTCTAGAAATACTTTTACTATAATTTAACTTTACTTTCACGCAATTTTACACCGTTTTCTACTAGAAAAAAATTACGTGAGATTTACGAAAACCCCCCCTCCCCCCCAAGTGAGATTTAGAAAGATTTAGTTTTATCCCCCCCCCACCTTGAACACCTCACGTAATTAATGGACGCCCCCTAAGTATCCTAATGTAACGATAAAATAAACTGCAAAAATGAGATAATTGACTTTTATCTGTTTTATACGCTTAGGCATTCTAACAATCTTCTAAAATTTAATAGTCAAAATAAGTTAAATGACAATTAACCTGTTTTTCCAGAAGAATTAATTCCCTTTCTTGCATATGAAATTCTTGCTTTTCGTTAAATGTGCACTTGTTTTAACTGTACAGTTTTGAGCAAAATTCACCTAACTCAAAAATGGTAAAAATGTACTTATATTGTTTTGGCAGTAAGCCGACGATATACAGTTCTTAATCACGAATACATTTTTTAGAAAAATCAATGGTACAGTAAACGCCAAATCTAAAGAACCAAGGACGCGCATTTATAATGCTATGAACACGCCTACCGATGAATAGAATTGGTAGCTTACCTAGAAAGTTGTAAACCAGGGGCGCGTATATTTTAAGACATAAAATAAATGGAAAATAGTGAATATCAACAAACTATTTTTGATAAGACCCATTGATAAGACCCACCGTGAGCTATAATAAGCCTTTGGTCTTTAGAAATAACAGAAAACAAACCTTTTGTTGAATCGTCTGTCCAATTCTTGGAAGAAGTATGTCCGTTGTGTATATATATGTTTCATCTAAATAAACGATTGGTCTATTTTGACTTCTAAAATATTTTATCTGTCTCAAATATTTTACTCTTAAAGTTCTTATTTTCATTTTTCCATCAAAAATTTATGATTATTTTGTGTTTTTCTCCATTTAAATTGTAATTTTTTAAAAACTCTTCTTAATGAAGTTTCTGATATGTGGATATCTAAATCTTCCTTAATTTTATTATTTAACCTTTCAACAGTAACACGAGACTTTTCTGTTATATTTAAAAACATTGTATATTACTTCACGACTTTGTTCGTTAATAACAGATTGCGGTTTTTTTCACCCACAATAGAAGACATTATCAAAAATAAAACCAAAACACAAAAACAAGAAACAAACAATGATCTAGGATCTAGTCGTTACGCTACTGACTATAAGCAAGGACAAGGTTCAAATTGTGAATAGGCGTGGCGATTTTTAAGTAAACGAACTTGAGCATTTGCGCTGGTTCTTTAGATTTGGCGTTTACTGTACCAGAAGTTGTTTATACAGTGCAGACTTTTTGTTGGACACTGTATGATATAAAATGAACTGCTATTTTAATGTTTCTGTTTATTTTCAGGGCCCACCGCAACCTGGTCAGCCTTTCAAATTTACCGTTGGAGAATCGTGTGATAGGATAAAGGAAGAATTTAGTTTTCTACAGGCGCAATACCATAAGTGAGTATAAAATTCGTTAAAATATAAATGAAATAAATGTCCCTTTAGCAAGAATCGTATTACTGAATACACGTGTGTTGTCAGTGAACGTTTTGCATATAAATTATACGTATTTATATACACGACGTTACACCCCATACCAGTTTGCAGTTTGCAGAAACAATAAGCCAGTAACGACAATATCAGTTAATCGTGATATCCTGAAGCGTATCCTTTTCTTCGATATCAGTAAACAATATACATCCTATTATTTCAATTAGCAACCGTCTATTTGTAGATCTAATACACTACATTATCGAGATAAATATTTCATGTTAAGCTTATGAGGTGTCCTCGATTTGTAATATTTTATTAGTTTAGACAGGTACTTAAAGATGTAGATTTTATGTTCCCATGTACTTTCAATAATTATGATTTTTTAAAGATGATGGGTCGAAGAAATGTATTACCAAACAAATACTAATACTAAATAGCTTCAGTCACAATATTTACTTAATAAAATTTCAGTATCGCTTACACAACTTAAATAATAATTATGATTTTTTGAAAATAATAAAAAAAATAAAAAATAATATAGTATTTTAACTAAAGAAAATAGAGTAGCATATCTTTTTATTGATTAACTTCTGATAAACTTTGTAGTTTCCTTGTAACAGGAACAATAAAATGAAGAGAAAAGATGAGAGAAGCGACTAAAAAACGAACTTCTGTAGAAAAAACCTGGCAGCATGTTGTTTCCATGAAATATTATGTTGATGCGGGTTCGGGTTTTCACAGAAAGCAAAAGAACCAGATTTTTAATTTTAATTGGTACTTAAACATGATACTATAATACTACAAAACGGTAACACAAAAGTTAACAATTGTTACAGGTACATCAACTTTAAAAGAAATATTAATTTAACCCAGAAGCCAGAAATCTTATATTTTGTCCTTACTCGTAATAAACTACTGATAAATTAAAAAAAAAAATCAACCAAACCTCGTCCACTGGATATTTTTTTACTTGTAATTTTTAGCTATTGCATTCAGGTAGAATTTCCATCAATTACTTTGCTGAAACAACACTTAAAACCTAATTTAAAAAAATACTTTCTTAAAACTATAATCTATTTATAAAGATTATTTACAGAGGTCCATAAATACATATTGATTACCTACCTGTGTTTGAATTCTATTTTTATTTTAATATAGATAATAGGATTTAAATAATTACAGGAAAGAGGACAATAAACTGTTAATTTTTGAATAAGGGATTGATTCATTGAAAATACCAACGGTTTACATAATTACGCCGATGTTTTTCTGAAGTTTTGAAAGAATATTTACATTAATATTTTTTGTGAGCTTTATAGCGTGACGCATTTTAGTTTTATGTGACAAATTATTAAAAAAAATTAAATTAGTTATTTACTCTTAATAACCTAAAATAATATTTAAATTTGTAGTGGGTGGTAGAAAAAATATACTGTACAACTCGAATGGATTGTCCATATTCACTCTTGTTGCACAAACTGCTATTTTGTAATGTTCTCTCTACCTAGAATAATTATGAAATATATTCCTTCAGTTGAATGCAATAGCATACGTGTTTGTTTTGTAGTCTGTACGTAGATAAGTTATATCCATGTGGGTGTAGAAAAAATTAATGTTTGATCCAAGAACAAACCCTGGATATTTAGAAAAAGTTACTTTTTCCAAATTAACGACGGCAAATCTATCCCACGGGAACTATACATTTTTCCCGAATAAAAAGTAGCCTATTTGCTATTCAAGACTCTAATTTATATCTGTGCCAAATTTCATCCAGATACGTTCAGGCATTCTGGTGCTATTAAGCAACAAACATCCATACAAACTTTCGCATTTATATAGTAGTAGGATTACTAATATTTACCCACAATTAAAAACTATAAAACATAAAATACAAAGTTTCATTTTCACATTTACATCTGATATGTCTCAGAACTTTCCAATAAAATTTGGATTCCGATTAAAACAACAAAAACATGAATTTTATACTCTTCTTTAAATATCTTCAATACGGTTCATTTTCGAGACATAGTATATATAACCAAAATTATAGATAATGACACCACTAAAAACTTTTATATGAAGAAGTTTCCTCTCCAATCATAAATAACCGAAATATACCAAAAAGTAGAAAACAAATCCTCAGTTGCTCCGACTTTGTCTAAAATCTAATCACCTCTTTAGAATCCCATGGAAACATCTTATAGTCTTAATAAAAAACGTCACACATCCAGACATTTTTAAAAAACATATTTTTTGGATTTCTAGTTCCCCAAAACGTAAAGACATTGTGTTATTTCAAATTAGAATTTTGGAGTGATTGCAATAACTTCTCCATTTTTTAAGGGTACGTGAGGAGGTTAATAATTATTTTCTGAAATGTTTTTAAAATAACGAACACTATTAAACTTAATTTGATTAGACACACACATTTTTCCTTTTTTTTATATAAAAAAAGTGTCTAGAATATGGTGATATGATGATATAAAAAGTATAACCTCTTTCAAGTCAATCAAACATTGCTATTTCAGTTGGACTATTTACTATAACAATGGATGTTTTATGAAGAACAAGCTTTGAAAAACAGTTTCACTGTTTAAATTTGAAAAATGGTAATTGATTAAAATAGTCGTTTGTGGTATACATTCCTTTTAAACCACATTATTTTTTGGAAATATTTGATTAGGATATCAGTATCAAAAAAATTGCGTGAAAGATTATAGATAATTATTATTATTTCAAATTACGTAACTTAAAAAAAAATATTAAAAAATTATAAACAAATTTACCAAACGTGTGTGGTGTAGTACCAAGTAATTTACCAGCTCAAAAAAAAATAAGAATAATATTTGCAATTTTAAATATTATTAAAACTTTGTATTTTTATATCACTTGGCAACACCGCTTGCATGATTTATGTCGAGATCAGCTGAGATTCCACCATCATTGTCGATTAATTTTTCATTGATTCTTCTTTTGTATTTTTTTATATATCGTATATATAAAATAAAATTAACAAAGTCGAGTAGCATTTTAATTTCATTTACGTTACAATAAATATATTACAGTCCACTTTAATCTCGAGACGGACAGGTTTAATACCAAATAAATATGATAAAATTAAATATAAACAAAAAAAGAAATATAAAAAAATCAAAACAAGATTGTACTTTGTACTTGTAGAATATCGAGAATTGAATGCACAACCCTTTGATTCAATAGCCGACGACTTATCCATTAGACCACGTTCGCTTAAAGGTTATATTTATGAGACGTTTATATACTATATTATATATTTCATTTAATCATTTAAAAACGCAAATTACTATGGAATTGTAGGGCCAACCATTTCTTCAAGGTAATTTTTTGTTTTCTTTGACAAAAATCCATCGGTGCTTCGTTTTCCTGTTGGATTTTTTAATCCACAATGTTACGGGCTCAATACTTTTGTGCCTAAAAATATTTACAAAACAGCCTACTACGGTTAGATTTATTATTGTCACCAAAAAATTCCTACCTTCAAGGAAGTATGCTTTCTCTCTCACTTCCTAGTTCTGTCTCTATTATGGGCGGATATTGGGCCATGTAGACTCATTAAAATAATCGAAATTTATTTCGCATTTAAACAGCTTAAAATAAAAAGAAATTCCATCAAAGATATTGTATAACGTTAGTGGATTTGTATACATATCTTTAGAAAGCCGCTACTTCTTCAGGCCATCGACTATCAACTACCAGCTACCATCTAGCTTTTATTCGTTGCTAACTACCATATAGTGGATAACTAGTTACCATATATTTTGAAAAAATTTTAGAATGTTTATTTGTTGGAAAACAAAGGAAATGAAAAACAAAAGGAAATTTTCTTATGATGGATTTAATTTTTCTATGACGTCATGGCTTACAGCTTTTCCAGAAATAACAGAAAATCGCAATTTATTTTTTATTTTTAAATGAAAACCATTTTTTTATTAAAAATTTGAATTTCTGGGACATTTTTGGGGCGTGTATTGAAAATTTTCTATAACATATTAAAAAAATATATTTTCCAATATGACGGTAATTTTGACAGCTGACAGAAAATTTTCAATACATGATTATTATACAAAAAATTTTAAATTTACAATAAAAAAATTTCGATTTTCGTTATTTCCGGAAAAACCGGAAGCAAGCCAGGACAGAATAATTGAATCAATCATAAGAAAGTGTTTGTTCCAGTCTTTCAAACAGAACAAAATTATTCAGATATCTCACTAAATATTGAAAATAAGGGGAGTGGAATTTTAGTAGTAACCCTAACAATGTCGCTGGCCCATTTGACAGAACTGATACTTAAGTTGTCATAACAAGTTTCTAATAAATAAAATAACCAAACAAAAAAGACAAAAACTAAAATTAAAAAAAAAACAAGAAACTTAAAGCATATTTTTAAAAAAACAAACAAGGTGTGATATAAAAGAAAAATATGAACACAATAATATTAAAAATAAAAATTTATAAAAAACAAAAACATAAAAAAACTCACTCAAATATGTCAATGAATACAAAAAAAAACACTAGGAAAACGCAAATTTTAAATTTCTTTTTTCTCTACTAAAAACATCGATAACGGAAAACACAATTTATTTTTCAGTCAGCCTATTTTCATTCATTATTCACTCCGTGCGTGACAGCAACGCCAACTATTTTATGAACTAACGGACGATATTTGCGTATACTGACAATACAATTTTTAATAGAGTTTGTAATTAAGAAATATATATGTTAATTAAGTGAAAAAATTATTATTATTATTATATATTTTTATTACTTTAGCTAAAAAAGGTCAATAAAAATCAATAATAAAACATAGGCAGGTATTTACATTTTCTCGTAAATAAAGATCTTGCCTAAGCATAATAAGTTGTCATTGAAGATTAGGTTAAATAATGTCAAATTAAAAATATTACCATTATATAATAACGTAA